ATTCAAAAGTGTTATGAGTAGTTTGTGTAAGAAATTTGAAACATTGAGAGATACAGGAGAGAAAATCTATAGATGGATATGACTTAAGCTTAATGAATAACTCAGATGACTAGAATGCTAAGATGATTGATAGTAAAGACTGTGATCTTAAGGTTTCAGATGGAGATGGGAGCTTGTTTGGTCATTTGCATTAAATTGTAGCAAATTATTTATCTATAATTTGTCCTTGCCCTGAGACTTCAGAAGATGCTAAGTTGATGCTGAATGATGGGCTAATTAATTTGGATGAGGGATATGCAAATAAGTTCATCTTTACAATAACATCATTATTGCTTACCTATTTCTAGCCAAGTTTATAGTGCAAATTAGGAGCAAGATGAAGGGCAGAAGACTTCTGTATTTTTATCTGAGAAGCTGATATAAAGTTTAGATTACAAAAACCCTTGTTTTTACTTTGACATTGTCTTTCTTCTTTTGTATGAGACGTCTTTGGGTACCCATGTGTATGGGCGGTATGTAGATAGGTAGCTGTCACATGGAGGCCAACATTGACCTCAATTACTCTCTATATTATTTTTTTGAGAAAAGGTTTCTCACTGAACCTGGAGCTCCATGATTCTGCTATTAATAGATTTCTAACAAACTTGCTGCTTCAGTTTCTGCGAATTCATATGAGCTCTGCTCAGTTGATTTTGATGGACTTGTTCTTCTGGTGTCCTCCATCCCTTCTGGCTCTTACATTCTTTCTGTCCCCTCTTCAGTGGTGTTCCCTGAACTCTGATAGGAGGGATTTGATGCCAACATTCCATTTAGAGTTGAATGATCCAAAGTCTCTCTCTCTCTCTCTCTCTCTCTTTCTTTCTCTGTGTGTGTGTATATATATATATACACACACACATACACACATACATACATATATATATATATATATATATATATATATAAATTCTGGATGTGGGTTTCTTTGTTTTTATATACTGCACAAAGGAGCTTCACTGATGAGTGAGTGAACAAGCTACTGATTTGTAAGTATAGCAGAGTATCATTAGAAGTCATTTTATCAATATTTTTAAGATCAGTATTTATTTGGTTTTACTCTAGGTCTCTGGGCTATGTAATGTGGTGATATTTTTGTTTATGGTATACCAAATAAAGCTTGCCTGAAGATCTGAGTGCTAACCTAGCCACACTAGCTAGCCATAGAGGCCAGGCAGTGGTGGTCCACACCTTTAATCCCCATACTTGGGAGAAAGAGGCAGACAGCTTTGTTAATTCAAGGCCACCATGAGTTACATGAAAGAAACTGATCCAGTATAAAAGAGAAACAGAGCTTACACAAAGGTGACCTCAGCACTTGTAATCCTGTGCCTTTAATCCCAGCACTAGAGAAGAAAATAAGGCAGGAGACCAGGGCTGAAGGCATTCTGAGCTTTGGTGGAGAGCAGAGAAGTCTGAGGTTTGGTGGGTCATCCCTTCAGTCTGAGCACTGGTAGAGGTGAAAACTTCTGGTGGCTGGGCCACTTTGTTTGTCTGATCTTCAGCTTTAACCATAATATCTGTTTCTGGGCCTTTATTATTCATACTACTATCTAGTCTCTGGTTTTTGGTCACCTAAGGTGTGTCAGAAATTGGTTCCATCCCAGGAAGTAGGCCTTAAGTCAGATTAGTTATTAGTTGGTACTTCCACAATATTTGTGTCACCATTGCCCTAGCATATCTTGCAGGTAGTAGTACATCATTATAGATAAAGGTATGGGGCCTGGCTTGAGTGTTTGCATTTCTCGTTTGACAGCATGTGGAGTATATTCCTGTATCAAAGACAATGGGATGTAGGGGTGAAGACTCTTTTTAGGGACCAGCTCAATATTTCCATGTTCAATGAGTTGTATGGTTGTGTTCAGCAATGGGGCCCTGCTGTCAGTTTGTGGAGAGAAACCTATTGTCTTGGAAACAGTCTAAATTCCTTGAGGATTTCCATGAGTTCATTTTTACCAACAACTCAATTGGGTGTAACCTAGTCCTGGTATTAGAAATTTCATTGGTGACAAGAGATGGCCAGTTGGAACTTCATCTCCCCCATTGTTTTGAGACTTCATTAGGATCATTTTCATATATTTTAGGAAGTTTTCTCTGCTCTAGGCTTCCATAACAACCCTCAGATACCCCTCAAATCTAGTTGTCTCTCCCCATATTTCTTCCTTCAAGTCCATCTCCCCTTCCAGTCCTCACTTGGTTCTACCATTTGTTCCCTTAAGTCCCCAGTCTACCCATAAAATCGATTCTATTTCCCCCTTCCAGGGAGATCCACATCCCTAGAGTCCCTTCCTCTATATCTTTATGGACCTATAAACTGTAGCTTGTTTATCATTTACTTAATGGCTAATATTCACATAAAAGTAAATACACATCATATTTATCTTTGTGGGTCTATCTTACCTCACTTAGGATGAGTTTTCTGATTCCATCCATCCATTTGCCTGCAAATTTCATATCTTGTTTTAAACAGCTGATTAATACTCCACTGTGTAAATGTACTACATTTTATTTATCTATTCATCTGTTGAAAGACACCTAGGTTTTTCCCAAATTCTAACTATTATTAATAGAGCCACAGTGAACATGGTTGAGCAAGTGTCCTTGTAGTTAGAATGAAGTGTCCTTTGGGTGTATGCCTAAGTGTGGTATAGCTGGATCTTGTGGTAGATATATTCCTATTTTGTGAGGAACTGCCACACTGATTTACATAGTGAATTATGAGTTTGCACTTCTGCTAGCAATGGAGGAGTGTTCCCTTTATTCCACACCCTCATTGGTATGAGCTGTCACTTGTGTTATCAATCTTAGCCATTCTAACATTCTTAATTTTTAGTAAGATTATACCCCTCAAATGCATTCTAGAAACCAAACAAAATGCAGAGTTGTAGAGCCCAGTCCCAGTGGAAACATCAACACTACAACTGCTGTATCTAAGGCTCAGGGATCAGTGCGAAGAGGGGGCAAGAAGATTGTGAGAGCCAGAGGAACAGGCAGTTCCCTATGAGATTATGTTTGCTCAGAATGCCAGAAGCTACACTTACAGAGTCTCACCAACATGCCTGTCTAAACAGTAGAACAAGGATGATACCAATAGACATACTAATATGGTTGGGCAAAGCCCAGGAAGCTTCAATCCTGCACAAAGAAGTACAGGCAACTCAGGAATGCTGAGTGAGGGAGAAATAGTCTTATCCAGGAAGAGCACACAAATTGCTCGTGCAATACCAAATATTATCTCTGAAAACATACATACAGGTAGCATTATACAGACTGAACAGGTTGTACTTATGTATTTAAGAATGTGTGTGTATGTGCATGTGTGTGTGTGTGCGTGCATACACATATGTATATAACAACTAATGGAAAAGTAATCATTACTTTGAAAGCAAGCAAGGAAGTGTATATGAGAAGGTCTGGAGTGAGGAAAGGGAAAGAGAAAGGGTATAATTATATTTTAATCTCAAAAATATATAAAAATTAAAGAATAGTATTTTATTTTTTTGCATTACTCAAAACTTTAACTTTAGATTTAATTCAATGGTATTCATTTCAATGACCACAGTAGAGTTATTAATTATACTGCACACACATAGATTTGTCACATACAAGAATAATATATATACATGATTGATACATAAAGGTTTAATATGTCAAAATTAATGACAAGTACACACTTAAATATGTACAATTCTTATGGAAAAAAGTTAAATGCTTTAATGACTATAGAAAATATTTCATGCAAATTGGTGACTAATGTAAATATTTATTTTAATTGAAGACATTGAAGATCTGACAGTGAATTCAAAGGCCATTTTAATATTTAATGATTTAATTTTGACACTGAGAATTTAAACATCTGATATATGGAATTTTAATGTACAGATGAATTGCTGTGTAGACTTGGGAATTTTTTACATGGGAAGAGGGAGAGACAGAAGGGGAGGAAGAAAAAAATGACTTAGGATACACACACATACACATATACATATGTATATATTTGTATATATATCATATACACATACATATATACATACATATATATGCTGTTTATGATTCCGATGAAGTCTCTTATCTCTATTAACAATTTATAGACTTCTGAATTTCATACATTTATTGAATATGTAACCTGATTTTAATTATATAAAATAATGGATTCCAAGGTGACCTTTGCATACATATATATCATTGGACCTGCCATCTTTAGCTCATCTCCTGTGTAGCAGGAGTGTAGACGAGAAAGGTGCAGAGTTATGGGGACTCATTTCCAGATGTTTAGACTTCATGAAAGAGCATGTAACATCTGGATTTCACAGGTGCATGAACCTGTGATCCTAGCCACAAACTCACACCTGTGTCCAGCTCTCCCTCCCCCTTGTAGAGTATGCCCAGGTGAATTATATTAGTGTATCTACATAGGTATTAATAAGGCTTCTGCATGTCCTAGTGTACATAGGCTCAAGTGAGACTTGTTGTTCTATTGTAATTGTTTTCCTTTTTGCTTCCAAAATGGTCTGGGTTAGATGATGTAGCCCATGACTAAAACACTGTGTTCTATATATTTTTAGTCACATGTCCAGGTATGTTATAAAACCAGGTGATACCATGTTTGGGGGGAATGTAAAAAAGGCATGGCTGATGCATGGAGGATGATGGATTAGAGCTTGGTTAATAGGTAGAAAAAGACAAGGGAATCCATGTATGTATCCATCATCTGTTTGTCCTCTTTTGACTATATTACTCCCTGTACCTTCCTGGGCAGTAATTAAATGAGTGAAGAAAATCAGTTTTATAAAAATGTAGCTACCATAGGTAAAATTCCATTGTTCTTATTTGTCAGAGAGAATCATACTTTGGAGAATTGGCATATTCTGGTCTTAGTGTGAGCCCAGTTGCTCCATAGATACTTCAGGCATGTGCTAAATAGATTTATAATTTTGCTTTTATTTCCCTCTTCTTCTACACAGGATTTGAAATTTGAAAGGAAAGGACTCAGCCAGAACATTCACATGTCATGTTTAAAGAAGGAAAAGCCATTTGAGAAGTATGTTCCTTAATGTTAAGAGTTTGTGTCTTGGTGTGTGTGTGTGTGTGTGTGTGTGTGTGTGTGTGTGTGTGTGTGTGTGTGTGTTTATGAATTAAGTATGGTATGGGTGAGTTGCAGGTGATAGACACCTGTAGGTTGATTCAACTAGAAGGTCTGGATTTTGGAAACTATGTCCTCATATCCACCTTGGGATAGGTCACTATTCTTCATCTCCAAGATGTTGGAAGATGGTCACTTCATGACACTGTAGCCAGAGCAAGTATGTGTTAAGAGTAAGAATTCAGCTGGGATAGTCTCATAGTGTTTGCCTGTCCTGTAGGTCTTTTCACAAGGCTGCCAGTATACTTCAGCATCGGTTGCCCGCCAGTGAGGCAGAAATGCTAACCCCACATTGAGTATCCTGTGGGTTAACTGAGGTCAGAAATAGAGTACATCTGAAAGTTTCTCTGAGCACGCCGAACACTCAATGTTACACCATACTGAGAACAGTAGTGGTTCTCATCAAGGGTCAGTGTCATCCGTAGGGAACATTTGGCAACATCTGTTAACATGTAGATTATAGAAATTGGCATTAGTTAGGTTGTCCAGGAGTATTCAGTGGGTTGAGGACAGTGTTCCACTAAATAGCCCAGTAGTGTGCTGAGCAGCCTCCACCACACAAAATTACCTGGTTAAAAATATCAATAGTGGTTATGCTGAGCAGACTGTTGTGGTGCATAGGTGCTGTCAGCCTCTTTACTGCATGTGCTCTGACTGCAGTGCAAATAGGATAACCAGCAGAGTGGGGTCTGCATCCCTGTGAAGACTACATAGTGTCTGAGACACTAGCTGTGCATTAAGGATTATAGATCACTACAGTGTCATTTCTCTGCTCAAATAAAGGCCAGTAGAGAATGGAATAGCATCCCTTCCATGCCTAGTGTTTCTAATGATAGGACTTTGTACTACGGAAATTGCCAGGGTAGTCCAAAAGACCTTATATGTAAGAGACATAATTCCAGGCTAACTTGCAACAGCAAAAATAGGAACTAGCTTAAATAGCCAACAATAAGTGACAATTTAAATAAATTGTGGTAGACAGAATTAAACACTAAAGATGCCTAAAAAAATCTAGTTGTAGTAAAAAAAATGCATACAATGTACATAGCAGAAAATAGAAGTTAGAAAATAATATATATACTATCAGTTTAACTTTGTATTAAAAAAAATGAATGATTTAACCCTCTAGACATGAAGATTAGAAGCCCGTATTGTGCAGAGGTTACATATAGTCTGTAGGTGGGTGGGGGACTTTTGATAATACACAGTTGAACACATATACAGCTAGAATTGTGTGACTACTAGAACACATATTCACAGACTCAAGCAGCCTTAGAAAGCATAGGAGCTGGAAAGATGCCTCAATGGTCAAGAGCAAATGCTACACTACTCTCACAGAGAAGGCTTAGGTTTAGTCCCCATTAACCATGTTGTATGTCTCAGAATCATCTGTAACTCAAGCTTTAGGTGATCTTATACCTTCTCCTGGGCTCTAGGAATTCTACACTCACACATACTCACCCATACACACACACACACACACACACACACAATTTAAAATGAAATAAATCGTAATAAAAAGGAAGTATTTGTTAAAAAAAATAGACCCAACATATATACTGAAGATATATAGCTGTCTGTCCCCCCTCTCCATTTGTCACTTCCCTAAACAACACAGCACAAAAACCATTTGCCTAGATTTTGCATTATAGTCAATATTGTAAGTCACATATAAGTAAGCCTGTGTGTGTCTGCTCCATGCAAATAGCACAAAGTTGTAAATAAGGTTCTTGAGCATCTCTGGTTTTAATACCTGAGAGGGTCTTGGCCTAGAACTTGCCCTCCTGTGTATATAGACTGTGCCTTCATTATCATAAGTTAATGATGCTCCATTACAGGATAAGACAGGAATGGTGATCTACTTAGGACTTGTCTTAGTTATGGTTTTATTGCTGTAGAGAGATACCATAATCATAGCAACCCTTACAAAGGAAAACATTTAGTTGGGCCTGGTTTGCCATTTCAGAGAATTAGTCTGTTATCATCATGGCAGGAAGCATGGCATCACACGGAGAACATGGAGCTAGAGAAGGAGCATGAGAGTTCTACATCTAGATCCAGGGGCAGCAGGAAGAGGGAGCTCCACTGGGCCTGGCTTGAGCTTCTGAAGTCCAAAGCCCATCCATCCCCAGGGACACACTTCCTCCAACAAGGCTACATCTACTCCAACAAGGACACAGTGCCCAGTAGCGCCCTATGAGCCCATGGAAGCCATTTGCATTTACATCTCCACAGGACTTAAGGCAGGCAGGATCTCGTGCCTTCTCTTGGCTTCTGACCTTGACTACAATTGCTTTACAGGAGCTCAAGTCAACATTGCATCTGGGTACCTGCTCCCTTGTACTTATTTCCGTTTAACTTAAAGGAAATGATTTTTAGAAAACCATTAAATAGAAAAACGAATAGTCGGCTTGTTACCAGGGACCACATTTTCTTTTATTTATTTATTTATTCATTTATTTTTGTTGTTTTCTTTCAGATGATAATGGTGAATGTAGCATGTAATTATTCAGATTAAATTTTTAGAATATTTCTGAATGCCTTGCAATTCTGACCAAGTGAACAAAGAAAGAAACCGGGGGAAGCCATCTCACTGTGGTTAACATGGGATGTTTGATGTTTACTAATGAAATCTGTTTACCTTCATAACTGTATAATAGGGCCATTAAAGACAATAGATACAGTAGTTTAAAAGTAATAAAATTTACAACAAAGTGTATTTAATTTGAAATTGGATTGCCAGCAAATGGGTGTCCTAATGAACCCCTGTGTCAATGCAGCTCTAACCACATTAAGGGAGATAATTTGTATCATAGAAACTGAATCAGCAGTGAGACCCCAAAAGGCTATTCCTCTGGTGGGGGTACAGCCATTGTCACAGATGGCCCTGCTGGTGGAATTAAGCTTAAGTCAGGAGAAGTGGGAGATATGATCCTTCTTAATTCAAATACATTTGGGAAAGCAGGGAGACGATGCAAGGATTTGATGAACACAAAAGTCAACAAGGGAAAAGATCTAGTAAATCTAGTACATATCAACAGGAGGACAAGCACCTGGGGAGCATTTTAAGGAGAGAAACTAGTGTTGATCTCTGGCCCTTGCATTAAAGGCAAAAAATGTTTATGTCATAGTAGCCAAACTTCTATTTTAAATGAATGTTTTTCACGAACAATGTGCATGATCAAAGAAATATGGGTAGAAAAAAATGAAGTGACAAGAAATCTTATCAAATATGGATGACCCTCCATATCTGTGGTTTTTGCATTTATGCATTCAACTACTAATGGAAGGAAATTTAGTTAGATCTGTGATGGCTTAAGCCATAATGAACATATGCAAAATGCTCACTCTTATTGGTATGCTATAGAAACAATATGGCATAGCAGATATTTTTTATAGTATTACATTAATTAAACATCCAACTAATAATCCATCAAGAGCAGTTGTTCTCAACCTGTGGGTGGTGACCCCCTGAAGTTAAAAAAAAAAATGACCCTTTCACAGACCATCAGAAAACACAGATATTTACATTACAATTCATAGCAGTAACACAATTACAGTTACAAAGATAACAGTGAAAACAATTTTCTGGTTGGGGGTCACCGCTACATGAAGAAATAGATTAAAAGCTTGCAGCATTAGGAAGGCTGAGAACCAGTGATCTAGAGATTATTTAAAATACATGATAAGAAGTAGAGCTGGAAAGACATTGTGGGGGTTGAGAGGGCTTGCAGATCTTACAGAGTACCAGAGTTCCCTTCCCAGCACCTACATGGGGTGACTCACAGTAACTTTTAACTCTAGCTTCAGGGGATCTGATGCCCTCTTCTGATCCCAAAGAGACTCTGAAGTCACAGGCATGCATATGCATGTACATGTATGTGTACACACACACACAATTAAAAGCAAAATAAAATTGAAAAATATATGTTCATATACATACATAATATACATAATACATGCATATACACACGCACATATATATATGAGAGAGAAAGAGAAAGAGAGAGAGAGAGCCATATTATATAAGGGACATGAGTCTCTTTGGATTCTAGCATTCACAGGGAGCCCTAGAGCCCATTCCTTTCAGACAAGGGAAGACAACAGCATTTGATTTCCTGGTTGTTTCTGAAACAACTGATGCTTTAATTGTGGCAAGCTCAGTTGCTTATATAGTATGTTATGTATTTTATGGGGCTATACTTCAGAAACCCCGCTTTAGTCAAGTGCAACACCTGCAATGTGGCACTTCTAACTCCTATTCAATCCAACAAAGCACTGTATTGTAGCTCTAAGGGCAAGGCTTGCCTTCATGCCCCATTTTCAACATCTTTTCTTTCATTTTAATTCTTTCTCATACCTGCTGCTCCAAGTCAGCTGTGCACTGCAGATGGGAATCCCTATACAAAGGGCAGTGTCATGGAGCCAAATTCGTGTCCAGAAGCAGCTAAAGAATCCCAAAGAGCAGAAGGAGCTTGGCACAAGGTGAGCATTCTCGACTGGCTTCTCCTGATACAAAATGTCAGATGATGACATCCATTGTGTGATTGCCCTTACCCATTTTTTTTTCCTCCTCAGGGGTTCTTCAGAGAAAGTAGGTCTTACTAAATATTTTTGATGCTAACTCCACACTAAAACATAGTCTAAAAGCTGTCCATAAATATATCTGTGGTATTTTTCACCACAGAGTAATAATATGACCAGACTCAGTATTAGCCATACATGGAGGCAGGCCTGCCACAATGCAAATGACACAGGCTTGAGATTTGATGGATCTCCATTCCCCTTCTCCTCCTCTGTCTGACATGAGCTTGACAGAGGTTGTAAATGCAAGAGAGATTGTGGTATAATTTCTCAGACTGGCATTTCTGCCCCCTAGTCACCATTCGATTATCTTCCAAATTGCTGTGTTTCAGAGAGATAAAGATTCTTTATGGCTTGCTGACTTGAAACAACCACAAGAGCCTGCACAGAGACAGCTAGGTGACCGTGCATAGTAATTCTATTGGTAAATGACAAAATCTTTGTTTGTATGACATTTCCAAAATTAGTACAGAAGATGAATCTAAAACACAAAATGTCACATTTGGCATGCAAAACTATCACAATATATTTCAGTATAAAATTCATAGAGGTGTTTAATTTAGAATGTGCTTAATAACTCAGTCTGCTTGCATCAGTAATCCTGCCTTGAGGTCTAAAATGATTGTCTTATTTATTCAGATGGTGTTAACTTTTAAAATATTTTTGGAAACCAAAATATTAAGGTTAAGTCTTTGTTGTTAATTAAGATTTTCTAATTAAACCAAAAATAATTGTTATTCTGATTAGTTTTTAAGTATGATTTGAATGGGAAAACAAAAGAAATTGAACAACTTTTCTTGTTTACTTAATTCTAGAAGCATACTATCTATATGGAAATATACATTATTTCAATAAATTCTGAGCAAGAGCAAGAAGTCTCTCCTGTCGATTATAGATTCACCTAGCAGTACCACTACCCTGAATGGAAGAGTAACATGCTCTTAAAAATGATCTCATTGGTGACTGGAGCACAAAATCTCAGTGAATTCCTAAAGGCTGAATTATTCAGGGACTTGTGAGTCTAGAAATAAAACATAATGCTTTCTGAATTCTCAACAATCCTGTTTCAGTGTTTACTTAATCTGAAATAATAGTTCATTCAAATCATTAATTTGTATAAACTTGGCAGTTATAGAACATGGAAATGGTCTGCTTTGTCAACTGTGAACAAACAATGAAATCTGAATGTTCCATAAAAGGCTTAGTCCCGTCTCAGTTACATGTTGTGGGCTAAAACTCAGCCCTTAATTTTTCTCCCCCTTTCCTGTTGTGGGAGGGCCTCTCATTGAAAGCCTGTGGGTCAAGCTGCCATATAGGGAATATAATGGATCAGGTGAGGTATGAGTCTGGCATGTTTTGCAGGTCACTTATCATTGTGGCATTTTTGTCTGTGATTAGTATTGCTTAGGATTGTCGCCTTTCTCATGCCATGTGTGAGGCTTGTGGTTGGGGTTTCCCATTCCCTAATATCTTAGTGGGCATGCTGTGTGGTTTCTAGAAGTGTTGGATTCCTGCTAATTCCATCTTACTATAATAGATGAATGGTTTTTGATGTCACAACTTATTAACATACAGTGCTTAAACACCAGCTAAACTTTCCCTCCCGTCATCGGGGAGTTTGCTTTTTGACCTCTTAATTATACATTGTGGGCCCTTGTCTGTTATCATTGCTAATACCTAACAATTACAGGTTGAGCAAAAATAATTGTCTCCCTTCTTTACCCTCTGAAAAGCCCATTGTTGCTAATTGCTTGGTTTTATCCAGTTCCTGTGTAATTCAAGAATTATGCCTTTTATGTAGGGTGAGCAGTCTCAGTTGCTTCGTCTACAAATACAAATCAGCTGTATTAGGGGCCTCAAGAACAAGGCTCCCCAAGGCTCCTACCTTCTCAGAGTGTCTCTGCTCAATCAGCTGGGGAGCTGTGTCTCACAGTGGTGTCAAACTGAGCAGCTGAAGGTGATAACACGTCCAGTTCATCATGGTGGCAACTTTTATGATGTGGGGCTGTATTTCCATGAAAGACTTTCTGTGGTAAGCTGACCTTCTATGCACATAAATTACTTTGTGTTTAATTAGATTCTGCTGGCACTGTCCACCTTTCCTCTCTGTCATGTCGCTGTACAAAATTAACCATTGTAGTCAAGACAAAGGATCATATTGATACAATCTTCTATGATCGCATTCACTTATTCAATAAATATCCAATAAGTGCTATCAATGTATCTGTCCTTTTGTCTGTCTGTCTATCTATCCATGTATCCATCCATCTCAACCCCTATTGTAGGTAAAGACATACTTATTCTTATGTTCTTTATTTATCAAGAGTGTTGTATGGATTATTGATCTTCCTGTTTTCAGGGTTTTCAAGTAGACAACTCCAACACACACATGGTATATTACACATGCATATGTGTGTAGACAGCCAAGAGATGGAGGTGCTTTGAAACAGAGAAGTAAAAATTCATTTTAGGAAAAGGTTTAATTGAAAGAGGGCCTTGACTGACAAGATCCAAGGGAAGGCACCGCCAAGCCACTACTTTGAGCCCATTCGAAGATGGGTACAGTGATGCTGTCCTACCAGAGGTGTGTGCAGAAAGATGCCTTGCCAGTGCATAGGAGGAATCCAAAAATCTCCCATTACTATTGTTGTAATCATGCTATCTCTTTGATAGAGAAGCCCATAAAATTTTACCCTTTGGATCTTTGGTTAGGAACAATACAGGTTAACATTATCCCCCTCTACTAAATGATTCCAATGACTTTGTTAAAAAGCATGGGGTACTTGTGTAAGGTTTTATTCTGAGTTGGTTATAGAGATAATCCCCGCCCACCCCAACCCCCCCAAGCCACTAACTTCCAGTAGTAGAATTTGATGACTGGTACAGCAGGCATCAGGCATAGTTCCAGCCCCAATTTTTTTTTTCAAAAAGGCAAGAGTAGCTAAGAGTTGAGCTAATGGTTTTAAGGAGTCTAGTCAGCAATACTGTACAATTATATTGCTTTGGTACCTTTTAAGCCATCTTGTTTTTAAATGTTTTACACTGAGGCATGCTATCATTTGTTGTTATTACTGGCATTTGTTCAAGTGCACTCTCAAGTTCCTGGTAAAAATGTGAAATCTGGATGTAGGAGTCCCATCTATTCTTGTTGGCTTTGTAAAGACTAGCCCACATCAACCTTTGAGTAATTATAATGATCCCATGTGTGCAGCAGTATCCTTTGAGTTTGAAAGGCTAGAGTCACAGAGTAATATTGTGGTTTAATAAGGATCAGGAAAAACAAATAGGCTGAATAGATGTTTATTCAGGGAGAAATAACTTACAACAGAGACAAATGAACATCAGCAGGTTCCTGGTCCCAAGGATGCCTCCGGATGCTTTTCTGTCCCCATGCTGCAAGCAAGAGACCACTCGGGGGGGAGGGGCTTCTCTAGACCTAGTTACCCCCATCATCTCTGCCACTGTCCCCACCCCCAATGGGTGTGGTCAGTCCCACAGGTGCAGACAAAGTGACTATGTCACTACAGAGTAGAACTATTAAGACTTTGAGATGGTGATCTTTTAGAGATAGGACACGGTGGGAGGCCCTTAGTTCACTGGGGATCTACCTTTGAAGGAGACTGTGGATTCATCCTCTATTTTTGCTTCCTGGTTCATAATATAAGTCATTCTAGCCAGGCCCCATGTCTCCTTTCTGATTTCCATTCTATATTTCCTCCATCTTGTCAGAGGCTGAGAGCCACAGTCATCACTGTAGTTGGACTAGAACCTTCCAAGTTATAAGCCAAAACACTCTTTCCTCTATGTAAGTTAATTGCCTCAGGTATTTCTTTATACTGCTAGGGTGCTGACTCATACACAGGAGAGGCTCTGGGCAAAGTGCTAATGGGAAGAGTTTCACCAGGCAGGTCCAGAAGGAAGCATGCTGCATGTTAAAAGAAGTGAGGTGGTAACGATCATTCACAGTGTCAGAGCTGCACTGAGCCTGTGACAAGAAAAGCACATCAGAGAAGCAAGCATATTTGAATGGTTAAAAAGGCATTCTCAAATTTTCTGCATGTGTCAGATACAAACAAATCATAATTACCTCCTGCCATAGCCCAGGAAAACAGTGCTAGCAGGCTGACAAAATAACAGTGAATTGTGTCCATCCTTTAATACCCATCCATAGCAAAATCCTCAATCTCATATATGTATGTATGTATGTATGTATGTATGTATGTATGTATAGGTACACACACACATACACAAACACACACACAATGTATTTTAGAAGAGTATAATACTCATGACAAAAAATAAAAACAATAAAAATGCCTAAAACAACCGGATTTAACTGGAAAGAGAAGTCACTAGAGCCTTTCTGCTTCCAGAAGTTGAAAGGCTGTTGCTGGAAATCCCATTTGCTCTGTTAGACTCAAACCTGTAGTGTCATGTTATCTCATTAAGGGTACAACCCTGCCTGCTGGTCTCACTGCTGTAGTTTGTATGAGACTGACAGTAAAAACAGTGAGTTTTCAAGCAACATGCTGTAATGCTATTTTATTTATTTTTAAAGCAGGGTGTATGTATGTCATGCTGGCCTCGACTCATTGTATAGCAGAGGGTGATGTCCTTGATCCTCCAGTCCTCATCCTGAGGACTGGTATTACAGGCATGTTCTTCAATACCTGGTTGATGTAATACTATGGTTTGAATGCAGAGCTCCATTCATCCCACATAAATACTCTTCCAACTGAGGCATACCCTCAGCAGCAGCAACATAGTTTTCTAATAATAAAAACAAATTCAGAAACATAAAGCCATACCTTGGATTTGTAATTTGTATTGAGACATTTGAGACATCTATTTCATTTCATTTAAGACACAAGTCAAAGAGGCCAATTCTTTTCTTACTTCATGAGTGGAAGCGATGATCTTCCCTAAGGCACAAGGAGGGCACAAGGCACCATACTTGTGCTAACTGGAAAGAGATGACCATCTATCTGTGAAAAAAAATCAAAGAACACAGAAGACATTATTTAAAAGAAAGAACAAGGCCTAATTACAGGAAGCACTCTGAGTTTGAGGAATAAATATCTATGTCACATACCTATAAAATTATCTTAGGAACGGAACCTTAATAAGGACACAATGTTACATCATCACAGTGTTATACCTTTGGCATCAGGCTGAACTAGCAGGTCAACACTTGAAGGTTAAGTTGAACTGATGCTGCTTAGAGATGTTGGAGAGGATTCCTAAGGGAGGCAACAGATATGTGTGTAAGCCCAATGGTGTACCACTCCAGGTATCCATGGTACAAATCCCATATATAGAGAGCTTTGTTACTGTCCCAAATAATTCCTCTACATATTAACATGGTTCTTGCTATATTGTGAGGTAGAGGTCATCAAATGAGATGTTTTTAGGGAAAAATACAAGCATCAGGCTCTTTATAACACATGAATAATAGAAATTACTTTATGTCAGTGTAGTAGGTCAAGTTCATTTGTGGATTCTAAGCTTAGACCTGTTGGTGCTGAGTGCTTGCTTGAAGATTTTTATGTAGAAACATTGAGAACATGCTTGTCTTCTGACATTTGTCCCAGAAACATTTCTGATGAAGAGATTGCCATCTTTGTTGACAGTATCCATTAACTGTCTACAGATGTGGCTCTTTGGGGAGAAATATGCAACATGACATATGTACTTGTTGACTTCTGGTCCTGGCAAGAAGATGGAATAGGTTAAATATTTAGGTTATCTTAGTCCATAGTTCTGCTAGAATCAGGGGTTAAAAGGCATATTCCATTTTCAGATTTTTATTCTACAAACACCTTGATTCTCCATAAATGTGGGCAAATATTTAAAAACAGAAGAGATAGCCCTGTGCATAAAGAATCAAGAAAAATCGCAAATCAGAGAGAAGAATGCCAGACTGAACAGTGATAGTGTGAGAGAGGAAAACAGGGATGGTCAAATTTGGCAAATATAACAACCACCCAGGGAACTTATTAGATATGGAATTTAGGAAATTTTCTGCATGAATTATAGATGATCCAACAGTGTCCAAATGAAGAGACAAGACCAAAAATAAGATAAAATAAGCAATCCACTTAGTAGATACTATCTCAGGTACCAATATGTCATTCATATAATCAGGGACATAACAAGAATTATTTCTTAACTTAAAAACTCTTTTAAAACTGTTTCTCCTGATAATCTACAATATGATTCTATAACCAAAATGCAGTGACTGAAGTGCAAATTTGAAAGGCACATTGAAGACTTTTCAACCAACAATAAATGATCAGACAGCAGGTTGAAGCAGTTCCCTGGATTATGACATTTACTGGTGAAAAAAGATAGAAAACATGAACACACACACACACACACACACACACACACACACACACACACACACACACCACTTTGACAATTTCCAGAAGGAAAGAATAAGGAAATATTATATGAAGAAATAGGTGCTATTAATTTTCCAGACTCATTGCAAGAGACTCACAAACTCTTGAGTAGGACTGTGTAAGATCAATCCACATGAGCACATTCTAGCTGCACATTTATAATTCTAAAATAAATGTCTCTCTTGACAGTGAATATTGTTAACTTGACTGAATTTGGAATTATCCAGCAGTGATTCCACAGGCCTCTGGACATGCCTGTGGGGGACTATCTTGATTACCTTCACCTTAACTGAGGTGGGAAGACACACCCACAGTGTGTGGCATAATTCCCACTCAGGCTGGGATCCTGAGCAGCATAGATGGAGAAACAGAGCTGAGAAGCAACATGCATTCACTGTGCTCTGTTTCCTGGTTATGGATGAGTTGCATCAGCTGCTACAAGCTCCTACTGCCTCCATCTCCCTGCCATGGACTACATACACCCTTGAACTCGGAGCCAGAATAAACAGTTTCTTCCTTAAGTTGCCTTTGTCCATATTTTATCACAGCAGCAGGAAAAGAGACTGAGACAACACAGTTCACCTTATCTGTCACCCAGGCATTGGGCCAGAGGTACCACAAATGAATA